GTCATAAGGGTGGGCTCTCATCCAGTGCAGCTGATATCCTTATAAAAAGAGGGTTGGACACAGGGAGACTGCCATCTAACAAGGCAAGGAGGCCCAGAGCAGATCCCTCCCTCACAACCCTCAGAAGGAACCAGCCCTGCCGACACTTTGATTTTGGAATTCACAACTGTGAGGCAATAAACTAGTGTCATTTCAGCCACCCAATTTGTGGTACATTATTAGAGCAGCTTTAGCAAACTAATACAAATGCCCAGCTCCCTCACCCACCAGGTGGAAGAACTGAGATGTGTTCTGTGCTATTTCCCAGAGTCCCCAGTGGGAGTCAGCTCATTTCCCACAGTGGCAACTATTTTTTCACTTCTTTTCTTTCTCTTTTCACTTCCCATTTTAACAGTTATCGGCTGGACTCACCTCCTGGATAAACAACTTGATTTCAAATCCTTGTCTCTGGGGTAACCCAAACTAAGGCAGTTAGTATTAGAAATGGAACTCAACTATCAAGATGGGATACTGGAATCAGACTCCTTCCCAGTAAGATGGTAACAAGGGTCTCACTGTTTATGAAAGTAGAATGGTGAGAAATTCTGAGCTGAAGTGTCACAATTCTTAGAGGCCTGATCTGTGGTGAATCAGGGTAAGATTCAGGGGGAAGGGCTCATTCAACATCACTAGCATTTGAGAGAGATGAAGTCATGATTGATTGTTACCACCTGCTGCTGGTGTACTGAAGAAAATGTTATAAGTTCATGTCACTAGGGACTAATAAGAAGAGCCAGAAAGCCTCCATAGTTTCATTTAAAGAGAGAGATTTTATAAAATTATAAAGGAAATATAAACATGAAATAATGTTGCTACTAAAATATTTTAGCTTTCTTCAGACAGCTGAGTCCAACCAGCACAACAGCAATCTACCATACAGTGAAAGTAGAACATTCTGGATCAGGTGGGGCAAACCCAGAAAGCCAGAAAGCCAAATACATCACACAAACAGGCAACACGGACACCTCCACCACGTTCCTTTGTTGCACTCGTGCCTCTCCTTCAGCTCATACCTGCGGCCTCACAGAAGTTTCCTTCCACCGAACTGAGGGAGGAGAGCAAACAAACTCAGGCCCGGTTCAAAGACAGGTCGGCTCTACATGTTAATTGTCATTAGTTTGTATGTGGGCTCCTGCCACACCACAGCCCCACTCAAGACTGACTGTGAAAAGCGGTGGTGAAGAGAAGTACTCCCATCAGGCAGTGCGTCAAGTAACACGGCCGATCCTCAACTTGGTGTGAAGGGAGGGGGAGCCCAAGATACGTATGTTCGCAGACTCCTGGACAGTGGCTGATCAGGGAACAAGATTAGAAGACTGAAGACAAAGGAATAGGCATAAAAAGTGCAAATCTTTATGTCTTACATTAGTGCCCACAAGAGTATCCATCAAAGGAGGTACAGAACAACCAAGGGGCTAGGATGATCATCCTGTAAAGCCCAGCCAGTCTCTGTCCTTGACCACCCCAGCGCTTCCTCAGTGGGCTCATGAACAGATTAGCTGTGCTGGCAGGCATGAAAATTCTAGGGGCTCCCACTCACCAGGCCTGGATGTCTGACCAATTAGCCCCAGAAGCTAAAGCTGAGTCCTAAATATGTTACCATCTCTCAAGGAGACCAACAAGCCACTTGGTGGCAAACTGATTGCATCAAACTCCTTCCACTCTGCAAGGGGCAGAGATTCATCTCCTTGGGATGGATCCCAAGAATGGATTCTCCTTTTCTGCCGGTAGTGCCTTGGCCAGCAACGTTATCCAAAGGCTACTACTGTGTCTGATATATCATGAAATTTCATGTAACATTACCTTAGACCAGTGTTTATCAAACTTTCATTACCATTCCCTTAAGGAGCCTTTTTAGCCACTTTTTCCTAATTGCCACTCCCAGGAAATTTTAATACCGCAGATACGCTGTACCTGTTTTTGCACTCTCTGTATATCTGCGCTTCATACATAAGAAGAGTAAGATTTGTTTTGCATATCAAAAACCAATCTTCACTGCCTTGAAAACAATATCGCCCTTGTTGAGAATGCATGCCTTACACCAAGAGCTTCACTTTACGATGAAGGTGGTACAACAAATGTCCATGGCTCCACTTTGTTTGCTGTACACCACAATACGTAGAAGCTATGGCCCTGAGAGAATATTGGAATGGCCTCTTAAAGGCGAAGCAACTTGAGAATGCCTTGCAGGGTTAGGATGCTGGTCTTAAAGATGAGGTATATGGTGCACGCAAGATCACAATGTGGTACTGTATGTTCTGACTCCAATAAGTAGAAAACACAGGTGTGGAAGCCAAGACGTAAGAATGGCCTCTGTCACCACAGCTCACACACATTGAGCCACTTGGGGAATTTGTGTCCCCATCGTTTCAATGTTATGCTCTGCTGGACTAGAGCACCTGACTTTAGGTGGTTGCCAGAGGATTATCTACCAGGGGACATAGAAAGGGTTCCACTAAAGCTATGGCTAGATGCTTGGTCATTTGGGGGTCTTCACATCAGTAGACTAGCAAGCAAAGAAAGCAGTAACTATCCCAGCAGGAGTAGATGACTACTACGAGGAAGATGTCTGGGACTCCAGGACTTTCGCTGGGATGCCACTTGGTGTTGCCATGTCTGGTGATAAACATAAACTGGCAATTTCAGTAAACAGTGTTTGACAAGAGCCTGATAACCAGAGGTTAAGACCCCTTAGGGATGAGGGTTTGGGTTACCCCACCACTCAAGTAACCTAGACAAGAGGAAGACTGGCCAAGTCTGAAGGGAATCTAAAATGTGTGTGGAGTAGCTAGCTAGGACTGCCATAGCAAAATACCACAGACTGGGTGGCTTAAATAATCTAAATTAATTTTCCTGCGGCTCTGGAGGCTAGAAGTCCAAGATCAAGAGGCTGGCAGGGTTGGTTCCCTCTGAGGTCTCTCTCCTTGGCATGCAGATAGCCGCCCTCTTGATAGCCACCCTCCTGATGCCTCTTGACATATTCGTCCCTTTGGGCACTAGCACCCCTGGTTTCTCTTCTATAAGGATACCAGTAAGACTGGATGAGGGTCCCACCAAAACGCCTTACTTCAACTTAATTACCTCTTCAAAGGCCCTATTTCCAATAACAGTTGCATTCTGAAGTACTGAGGGTTGGGACTTCAACTTATGAATTTGGAGGGACACAATTCACTCCATAACAGGGTAGTAGAGGAAGGAGATAATGAATATCAGTTATGAACTCATAGCCACTTGTAACAACAGGGACTATAGCTTGTCCTACTAAACTTCCTGGGGTGTGTGTGTGTGTGTGTGTGTGTGTGTGTGTGTGTGTGTTCTGGAAATTGGTGAATGACTATCCCAGCCCCTCCCCTCAGGTGAGGTCTCTGAAGTGCATGTCCCTGCACTGTCTCCCAGGAGCCCCCAACAGGCTTAAGCTCCAATTGTCCATTGTGGTAACTTCCATGATAATGCATGCTTCCCCCCCCCACTTCCTTCCCTCCCCTGTCTCATTTCCCCACTTCCATACTGGTGCTTTCTGGGATCAACCCCCAGAAAAAGTACCTGCTCCCAAATCCTTATCTTGGGGTGTGCTTCTGTTAGGACCCAAATTAAGATACCAACAGTTGGCAGAGTAGCTCATATTTACTAAATTTAACATGTACACTTATTTGACTGGTTTCGTTCCCTTTACATTATTTCTCTCTCAACTAGTTGTTTCTCTATGTTCTCTTCTAGGTCACTAGTCGTTCATAATTACTACTATGTGTCAGGTGCTCAGGACACAGCTGGAAAAAGGAGGGGGGCCCTGCTGTCATGGATGTTAAGGTCTAGGAGGGAAGCCCAACCCTGAACAACTGATTTTAAGTGTGAATCATGTAATAACAAGAAAAATGTGGGAAGGAGGAAGGATACAGCAGTGGGGTCCCTGAGGAAGTGACTTGAGCCTGGCACCTGAAGGATTAGTAGGAAGTGGCGTGGTATCAGTCTCCACTTGGGCTCCCTCAGCGGCAGTTTGTCCTTCTGTAGTCTAGCAAGAGCAAATGTGCCGAAGGGTCAAATAGAGCTTGGGAGAGAGATATGGTTAACACAAAAATGCAAAATAAATCCAAAATCACCAAGAACCTTTATTTTACATATCTCAAACTGAAAGAGCAATTAAAATAAAAATATTTTCAATTCATAAAATACTTTTACATCAATCACACTAATAGAAAAGTGAAATCCCTGAGGAGTTGCCAGCAATAAATAAAGCACTTAGAAACAGAATGTTCTGAGTTCAAAGGAAAATTTCCTGAGGACGTTCAATTTGGGGAAGTCAATGGCCCTTTGAACACTTCAGTTTCTCAAAAAGATATCCAACTGTTGCAAGTTTCCTGTCATGACAAGAAGCTGCCACTTTCAGTAGCATCTCACATGAAAAGAGGAAAAATAACCGATCTTCTTTCAGTCAATTTGCCCATAGTTCTGGGAAAGCTATTGCACAGAGCAGGAGAGGAAAGTATTTGCTTTGTGGAAACAGAATTTTATGACATGCTGAATAAGTACCAATGCTATTTTAACTTGTCATTAACTAAAATGAACCGCTTTCTCAGTGCTCGAATGTTGTGCAAAAGGTACATAATCTCCCCGCTGTTTGAGGGTGACAAAAGGAAGACCCCAAATTTTGTGCAAAGGTAAGGTTGACACTTTAAAGATTCCAGGATCTATTGAGGGCAAGATTCTCTGTGAAGACCCAGGACTGAGGACTGGCTTTGTAACTCTATATTTCTCTTCAGTAATAGAGTCAAAAGGTCATATTTCATTGATTCTAGGATGTACTTTTTTTTTTTTTTTTTTTTTTTTTACATTT